TACCAGCCCCTAAGTTTTTATGAAGAATTTCCTGGCTGCATTTTACTACAAGCTTATCTCCCCCTAGTTAAGAACTTAGGATTCAGACATCCAAGTGATCAAAATTATAGTAGTTTGATTTTTACTAAATGATTCAATATTCTAGAGACGGGGGTCAGTCTAATTATTAGTTCTACGCATGTCCATCATTTCGTTAACATCACTCAACGAATAATCCGCCTCTTCAGTCACACCTATTTCTTACCACATCCGTTCGGGGCTGATGAAGAGGACGTCGTGACTGGTTCTTTTCAAACACATTCTCCAAGATGCGCTACCGCGACTCATTGAATATGGTTTAACGGAACTGTTAATAACATGCAATTTCAATACAAAATGCTAACCCGTGTTAGTAGTACGCTGTACCTATTCCAAAACACGAAAACGTAGTTTAATGAGCTTTCGTATCCACTTAAGTACCCAATCAACGTGGCCTAAATTGAGTGATCATAATAAGATTTTTCTGATGGCTCGTTTACATCTCATAACCAAGCAGACGACATCGCTAATGTCATTATTTATGGACATTGTATAGCAACTGGTTATATTGAGCCAGTTTAACGATGATGAAAATGAAAACGTTAAGATATCTATATTGTACATGCACATGTGTATTCCCTTGTGTGCGCTTCCTTGACTTCCCCATTATTTTACTGTGTGTACAATGTTACACAGCTATTAACCAATAACAACGGCCGTAACATGTGATAGAACTCTAGATCCATTTTTATGTATGTCAAAGACCGTTTTTGGTCGGTTAGGAAGCGTAAAGAAACGATTGATATGTTGCATTACTTTTGCAAAACAGTATTAGACACCAAACTGAACTTGCAAGTCAGGATTTCCTTTTGAGACCTCTCTTTGGGGACACGGAAAAGATCTAGGTCTGTTGTCCGATTGCTACATCTGTTATTTTTCCTTGTCTGTCTTTCATTTCGGCGGTGCGTCCCAATAGACAGCTCCGGTTACACCGTGTTCATTGACCGAGTGGTGTGCTAGTCTGTCATTATGGTATTTGAGTGAGATGACGCTTTGAAATGTATCTTTAGTGGTTGCGTTCCTTGGGGACACAGTTTCCACGTGGCCTTAGCTCGTGTGAGGACACAGCTCCCTAAACAAACAATTGAGCACTGATATCGCCTCGTATTCGTGATGAGTATATGTCATCATGATCCCCTATTGTTACCATATGTTACATACGTATTCATTAACACTACTTTGTCTGTGGCTCCTAACAACGTGTTTATTGTTGTGTAATTCGTGGGGATGTATATGTGTTATCACGGTCTTTATATATTTTAAGCAAACTTTTGTAAAACTAGTACCTCTTCACTTATTCACTGTTTGAATGGAACATAGGTATTAGAGAATTCCAAAACCAATTGTCACTTTAATTTGTGTTTTTTGATTTAAGCATATTTTTATTTGCATCTAATATACAAAAGGGATTGGACACAAGTTGTCCAACTTCTGGTATTTTCGTTTCACTAGTGCCGTTTGTATCGGGGAAGACCAGAAACACGACTCTTCACCATTTAAGATAAAAATGATTTTCGACTAATAAATTAACAAACATAGATAATATTGATACCAAGTTCATACAATTTTTGTAAAATAAAAGTGGAGGGGGAGGGGTGTGGGTGTGTGTGGGTGGGTGTGTGTGTGTGTGTCTGTGTGTGTGGGGGATGGGGGGGGGGTATATTTATCAAAATCTATTTGAATCTAGAATATATGGCCGAGTATGTTGAAATATTATTTCATCATATCATCATAATTTGTGTTGACGCTATGGTTATATTTTGTCTTTGTGCATAACACAGTGGAATATTTTGTCCTTGTGTGTTGACACTGTAGTATATATATTTTACCTGGTGTGTTGACACTTTTGTATATATTTGTCCTTGTGTGTTGACACTTTTGTGTATATTTGTCCTTGTGTGTAGACAGTGTAGTATATATTTGTCCTTGTGTGTTGACAGTGTAGTATATATTTGTCCTTGTGTGTTGACACTTTTGTATATATTTGCCCTTGTGTGTTGACAGTGTAGTATATATTTGTCCTTGTGTGTCGACTCTGCAGTATATATTTGTCCTTGTGTGTTGACAGTGTACTATATATTTGTCCTTGTGTGTTGACAGTGTAGTATATATTTGTCCTTGTTTGTCGACACTGCAGTATATATTTGTCCTTGTGTGTTGACAGTGTACTATATATTTGTCCTTGTGTGTTGACAGTGTAGTATACATTTGTCCTTGTGTGTTGACGATGTAGTATATATGTGTCCTTGTGTGTCGACACTGCAGTATATATTTGTCCTTGTGTGTTGACAGTGTACTATATATTTGTCCTTGTGTGTTGACAGTGTAGTATACATTTGTCCTTGTGTGTTGACGATGTAGTATATATGTGTCCTTGTGTGTCGACACTGCAGTATATATTTGTCCTTGTGTGTTGATAGTGTAGTATATATTTGTCCTTGTGTGTTGACAGTGTACTATATATTTGTCCTTGTGTGTTGACAGTGTAGTATATATTTGTCCTTGTGCGTTGACACTTTTGTATATATTTGCCCTTGTGTGTTGACAGTGTAGTATATATTTGTCCTTGTGTGTTGACAGTGTAGTATACATTTGTCCTTGTGTGTTGACGATGTAGTATATATGTGTCCTTGTGTGTCGACACTGCAATGTATATTTGTCTTTTTTTGTGTCGACACTGCAGTGTATACACATGTATTTGTCCTTGTGTGTTGACACTGTAGTATATATTTATCCTTGTGTGTCTACACTGCAGTTTATATAGGTGCTTTTTTGTGGTGACGCTGCAGTTTATATTTGTCTATTTGTGTCGACACTGCAGTGCATATTTGCTTTTTTTGTGTCGACACTGCAGTATATACTTGTTTTTGTATGTCGACGCTGCAGTGTATATTTGTCTTTTTGTGTCGACACTGCAGTGTGTATTTGTCTTTTTGTGTCGACACTGCAGTGTATCTTTGTCTTTTTGTGTCGACACTGCAGTGTATATTTGTCTTTTTGTGGCGACACTGCAGTGTGTATTTGTCTTTTTGTGTCGACACTGCAGTGTGTATTTGTCTTTTTGTGTCGACACTGCAGTATAAATATTTAAATGTGTCCTTCGATATGAAGGCTTTTGTTCTGTGAGTATTTGTCCTTATTTGCTGACGTTGTGGTATTGTTTTTTTATTTTTGGTTTACTTTTTATCTTCAGGATGACGCAGCACAATATTGAATCTAAAATTAAATCGATCCCTACGACATTTATGGAATTTTCGTTTTAGCGACCTTATACCGAAACGGACATTTTATGGAGATTTGTGAATATCCTATGATGTATTAACGATTTTAGGATACATTAAGTCACACACACCCACGTTTTCCATGCTAATGGATGTTTTTTTCAATGGAGATTTTTTTCGAAGTCGTCATATTCGAGATTGATTATATCGTAATAACGGAATAAAGAGTGTGCACCCAGAGTAAATAGCATGTGTGCCTTATTAAAACTCACTGACACTATTCGCTGCGTTACAAGACTTGAAAACAGGTTATATTCACGTTCTTCGATAATGATTACTTAATGAATATTCATCAAAATATCACAGGTCATACTTCATGTTACTGTCCTTGTTAAGTCGTTTGACTATGAACGTTCATACAGTCTAGGTAAATGTAGGACGCGAACAATTATAACTTGTTAAACTTGTTCTAAGTTCTGTCATTTCTTTATATCAGGTTTCCTAAATGTAATCTATATTAAAAAAAAGGGGGGTGGTCGAATGGTGCAGTGGATAGTGTACTCGCCTTTCACCAAGGTAGCCGTGGTACTATACCCCGATCGGACGTGACATGGTATGGGGTCACCTACCCGAGTACATAGGTTTTCTCCAGGTACTCCGGTTACCTTCCTCATTAAATACTCATTATGCGCTTTGATCCGAGCAAACTAAAGCTTCATGATTGTTGTTAAATAAACGAATTATATATTTATGTCGAAAGAAAAGAGAGAAACATATAATAGATATAATAACTTAATATAGTATTTCGAATTTAATGACATTTCTCGATATGAAAAAAAACTACAAAAAAAAACAAAAACATTTTCACCCGACCTTATTTGGAGCTTTCAGAAATCTCTAAACATTTCTTCTATGCTTACAGAAAATATACAATGCATCCAAACGTAATATTTATTTTATCTTTATAGTAACACACATATATAATAACATATCTGTTTAAATTTGCTGGAACTTGAAAGAATATTTAATTTTCATGTGCATTCATTTCAAGATTGTATGTGTTCCTTAAAATGAAACCTTGTGGGATGATGCCTAAATGCGAATCCATGACTTGGTCAAAAATGCATTTGCGTTAAAGTTTGCATGTGTGCTAAAGGCGGTATGTTGGGGTATTTTCTTCCTTGCAATCTGATACCGCAAATGTCAAAGGCACGCTCAACCGTACTCCACCCAATCAAATTATACCGACAACATGTGAAACCGTCGTTGCACTTACTCTAAATGCTGGACCTGGGAACGTATCCCATTGTCTTCCTCACATGGGTGAACGTTCTGCAATATAGCCAAACATAATAATGCAGGTCAAGATATATTTGAAAAGAGAAGATATGTATGTTGCAATTGGGTGCGTCCATTATACACTTGCAATGTACCGAAATGACACACAAGAAAATCCTGGTTGTAAAGGAACTTGTGGATTGCTCTTCATCATGTCCCTCCCTCTCAACCAGTTTGGCGTGGTGTTACCTATCCAGAATAGTTCTATGGTACATCAAAGCGCGCGAGTTCCCCCGATTACAGCCAGGTGAAAATCCATTGGTTTTGATGCAGGAAGTAAGGGTCTAGTAGGCACAATTTATGAATGCATCCTCATGACCAGTTTATCTTGCATAATTGTGGAAAACATTTCTTTGTTTACAGAGGGTGTTCGTTTACGACTTAACTTGATGCAAGAACGTAAGACAAAGTGTGAATATCTGAGTGGTCGTGATGGACTGACTGCACTGGACACCACGCAGCTGTACGCCGTTCCACGTAAGTCTCCCCACGCCCCTGTGTATTACGAGGTGTTTTTTTATATGGAAATCCCTTTAGCATTACCAACTTTATTTTGTGTTCTGGGCTTGGAGACAAGAAAGCGAACAAATGAAATCAGCTGCACCCATTCGATATTTGGGATATTTTTGTTTTTCCTTGTTCCTTACTATGCGATTTAAGCCGTGCAGGTTCCGGGAAAGAATAGACCTGCTGTTCCCACTGCATGGTCGTAAGAGGCGACTTACATGCCCTTATATGTCGCTTTTTGTCTTAGTGTTGTTGAGAGGTCGCACAAGCGAAGAAGAATATGGGTTCCGTTCCATAAAAGAGATAAACCAGAGTCGTTTAAATCAAGTTCCTATTTACCGCCTTTTACTTGATGTTCGGCCTTGAATGGTTGGCAGTAAGAACTAGTTAGTGCCTTGGCATGAGAACGTGACCAAATTACCATGTCCATATTATGAAACTTTAAATGAGTTTGCACTATAAAGAAGCCGTTGAATAACCCCAAAATCAATAAACAGCGTCTCCACGTGACATTGGCTGTTGCGAGGACGTGAAAACCAGGACAAGCCAAATGTAACCAAATACCTTACCTTGATCACCAGGTCAAATGTCCTCTAATTCAACATTGACCATATGCCTTTTATCTTCACATTGACCACCAGGTCATATTGTTATTTTCTCTATGTCCATAATGTCCCTTAGATCACATAGTGTATAAGTTCGTAATGGTTATCACAGTGGCGGATGTAGGAGCCGAGGGTTCCCGGGGTTTCGGGAAACTCCAGAAGCCTGGCAATATCCTTTATAGGCAGCCATGTTTTTCTTTGCAAAGTGTTTTTTCATTTACGCGGATGGGGGATAGGGGAGGGGTTTATTGGAACCCCCACCCCGACTTATCATCTGAACCCATCATAGTATGTGCACACTTCGTTCACTATGACTATTATCTACCTACACGATCAGCAATAGTCACATGTCAGCTTCATCCGTAAAAGTCAGACATTTTTCACACTTGTATTGCAACCAAGTGCAAGCGCTATATTATATTGAATTTTCAGCACTGCCTTTATTGGTGTTTGTGTTCAACTTTCTAAAAAAAAAACAGAAATTAATATCGTTTTGTGTACTTTGCTGTTTCAGACTTGGAGAGAGCTGCAAGCGCTTTCGCATTGCTATGCATGTTGTCCATGGTAACGGGTCTTGTGACGGGCGGATACGGGTTACTAGGACGACAGACCCGGGTGCTGGTGCTTGCTTCGTGCTGTTCTCTCGTCGCCGGTGAGTTGCTGGGTTTGACGTCGCGTGCGCGATCTGGTAATATTTATGTCAGCAGGTCAACTAACCGTATTATCGTTCAAATACAATTTGTGAAATGTAGCACATCTTTTTTTATTGACACTTCCCAACTTGTGTTTTACTTTTGGCCGTGGTGTGCCAAGTAAAGCTGTAGATCTCTGGAGCACTTACAATATAAATATAGATTGTACGTACAATGGAGTCATATAAGGACATCGATAGGCCCTCTAGCTTTTGCTATAGGCCTGACAGGGTGCATCCGGGGAATTTTATACATAAACACCTTATCATCACGTTTACACCATTGTTATCAGAAGGGAGTTTGCCACATGGTCTGACAACTCCTACATTCAGCCTCGCTTTCAACTGATAACCACGTGGCTCTATAGATGTGCTCCTATTGGACATGTTCAATTACTTTAAATGCTCAATTTACTCCAATAGATAGAACTGTATGTAACCAAATCAACCGATAAGGTATACGTCGTTATTATTTTTTCCGCGTCAGTAGACAAGAGGAGAGCACCTGAGGAGAGCACCTGAGAGTAAAGACACTGTATATGTGCACTTTAGACCGGAACAATATCAAACATTGTACATACATGTAGTTGTAAAAAAAAAATACTTTTGACATAAACCACACACCCATGGATTGTGTGTATATAATACTGGAATAACAGAAACCAGGTTTTCTGCTATCGTGACAGAAAGCAGCTAAAGTCCCGGTTTCATTATTTTCTTAGAAACGATTAAAGAGACGGAAACTTTCGTATTCTTGGCAAAAACAGCAGGGGAAAACACCTACGAGCGTTCAACATCACTAGCAGACATGGTCAGTGAGCGAGATAAAAAAAAAGTCCTGTGATAGAAAGGTCACAAACCATATACGGCCTCACAATTCTCAGGCCCCTGTGGTAAGGAGAACGTTTTTCTAGCAGGTGTTACACTATGTCAAATTGTGTGGTGTCTTGTGTATCCTGATGCCTTAGGTCCCTATAATGTGTTCATGTCCACTTCCTGGTGCTTGTTTTAAGTTTTTAATGTCCTTGTATCCAAACAATGCGCTTAACAACCACCGTTTTGTATTGTATATGGTTTCAGTATTTCTTATATCGACGCCATGAAATATATTTATAGATAGAATATAACCAGGAAGGCATTATTTCAAGACTATCCAATCATACTTTATATTTGTTACATCAGCATGTGTCTTGGTCGTCTGAGCACAAATAATCAGCGTAGAATTCGACTGTTTTAGTATGGATACACTGCAAAATATAAGGAAATGATGACATAACGCTCATACATGTAATGCATACACTGTTAGACATGACACATACACTGTTAGACATGACACAAACACTGTTAGACAGGACACATACACTGTTAGACATGACACATACACTACTAGACATGACACATACACTGCTAGACATGACACATACACTGTTAGACATGACACATACGCTGTTAGACATGACACATACACTGTTAGACATGACACTTACACTGTTAGACATGACACATACACTGTTAGCCATGACACATACACTGTTAGACATGACACATACACAGTTAGACATGACACATACACTGTTAGACACGACACATACACAGTTAGACATGACACATACACTGTTAGACATGACACAAACACTGTTAGACATGACACATACACTGTTAGAGATGACACATACACTGTTATACACGACACATACACTGTTAGACATGACACATACACAGTTAGACATGACACATACACTGTTAGACACGACACATACACTGCTGGACATGACACATACACTGTTAGACGTGACACATACACTGTCAGACATGACACATACACTGTTAGACATGACACTTACACTGTTAGACATGACACATACACTGTTAGCCATGACACATACACTGTCAGACATGACACATACACTGTTAGACATGACACTTACACTGTTAGACATGACACATACACTGTTATACACGACACATACGCTGTTAGACATGACACATACACTGTTAGACACGACACATACACTGTTACCCGGCGCGAATTTGATGCGCAGAAATCCCCCCTCGAGAACCCCGTTCAAGCGTTTCGGTGACCGCGACTTAGTGTTGAAGCAATGGCAACATTGCATGCAGTATTGATACTAACATTTATTTGGTAATAAAACAATTGTTTCATGGTTATTTTGGGAACAGTCAAAACTATCGTCCCTCGGTAGGGGGAAGCCCTGAGGAACTGTTTGCCCTTGGCCTAGCGGCCTCGGGCAAACAGTTCCCCAGGGCTCCCCCCTACCTCGGGATGATAGTTTTGACTGTTCCCCAAATAGCCATAAAACAATTGCATATCAGACACGACACAAACACTGTTAGACATGACACATACACTGTTAGACACGACACATACACTGTTAGACATGACACATACACTACTAGACATGACACATACACTGTTAG